CAAGTAGATCACATCTCGTGATCTGGGTACTTTTTTGTGTTCCCATAGGATTTTTCCCCTCAGATTGTGTATTTGTAAATTGCCAATTCAGTTCATTACATATTACGAATTCACCCAACAAGATAGCCAGCCAGAAACCGAGTGGTTTGGAATGAGACACCTCTCTGAGCTGACTTTTATCCTCGGGTATATGGGGATTAAAATTCAAAGTCCCATTAAATTACAACTGGTTGCTGTTTTACAAGAGGTGAGTCTGTTTGTATATGAGTTTAGTGAACAAAGCATAGGCACCCTAAGCAATGCTGTGCTGGGTTTATACCTCACTGGGAATACTATTTCACTGGAAAAGGGGTGCGTCGGTGGCACAGTGGTTAGGACTCTCGCCGACCATGCACATGGTCCGGGGTTCGAGCCCACGCCGACGCACACCTGATATCAATGGTCGGCCTGCGAAATTTGGGCTACCGATATCCATGCTGAAAATTCCATACTTGTACCAAAAATACAGTGTGGAATCAAGCTGTAATCAAAAATAAAAAAAAAATAAAAAAAGTAATTTAATCGGAAAGCTTTCATTCTTCCCCATGTAGACAACATCTTCAGGGCAAGCTTAAATAGGAATTGAACTTGTTTGAGGTCTCCATGAACCATGCTGCATTTGTATCTCCTGAGCACCCCTGTCTTCAACCGGTTGTTATTTTACATCTTTATCGGTCACTTTTATTGTCTTCGAATCTGACCTTTCTTGTCATGTGACTTATTTTCTATTAGTTGGTCAATTTGATCGATAGTGATGTGTTTGTTACTCGCTGATTCGTCTAAATATCAGGCTTCTGGAAATTCGCTGGGATTTCCGATGTTTCCTCTGCTTACAGTTTCTACACTTTCCAGATCAAATTGGAATCCATAATCGTCTACATGCATCAGGTATGAAAGAATATCTGTCGTGTCTGTTCACAGCTAATTTATGTTCCTGGATTCTTATTCTCCCACTTTGACCAGTGAAGTGTGTGTATCAAGGTCGATGGAATTTATTCTGCAGCTGGTATTGATCTTGTCTTCTTTTACTGTTGAATGAAGTGATTGTATTGGCTTATCTTCTATGTTAATTTCATCCTGAAACCTGCGTTGACGATGTTGTCTAGGAGAACAATGAAGGCTTTTCAGTTAAATCAACCAGCTTGGAAAATACAACTGGTTCAAAATCATCCACTTGAGCTACAAATCTTCTTTAATGCTTCTAGGAATAAACAGAGCTGACAGATCTCAAATAGGACTAAACATGCCGCCTGGAATCCTTTTCATGCCACCATTTCCAAAATACCTCAAGGGAGATAACTTTACTTTAGCTTGATTTCCGTCAGCAACCCATTCGATTGCTTGGAGCTTGGTGTATTCATTTGAGAGGATAGCAATAAATAAGAACGAAAGTTAGGCCTTCTGGTGAAAATCATGCTGGTTGCAGTTAAAGTCAATTAGTAGTCCTACAGAACATAAGTATTGACAAGCGTAACCAAGTTTTCACTGTTTATTTCTAACCAGACCAAATGAATAGTGCTCTGCTGACATATATACCACGTGTTTAGTAGCTTAGTGCTGTACTGCCTTGAATTTCACTTTAGTGTTAATTTTTTTGTCGATCATAGTCCCCGGTTGGCTGGACTTGCATCCCATTGAGTGACAGGGCTCTCATTGAAGCTTAAAGCTGAGTTCTCATTCTCTTTCAAAGATCCAGTGTTATCTCCTTGCCCTACCGTTGTTACAATTCGGACTTTTCACTTTTTATTTTCTGTAATGCTTTTTTACCTGCAGGAGAGAATGTTTTCCTCAGTTGTCTCAGTTGAACTCTAGTAATGAATACCACCATTCACAAAGTGATTACTCAATCTGAGATTTTAGCCAACTAATAATGTTTAACGTTGGACTATGGAAAATTGGAAAACTGTAATTCACAACACTATCGTGACGTTTATATTAGTGAGTGTAATTTACAAATGGTCAACAGGCTTGGCTCGAAACACTTAGGAATAGACAGCTTCATTGTCTGATCGCTTTTAGAGGATGATTTGGCAAGCAAAGTTTAGTCTTACTGGGAAGCATTCATGACCACAGTAGCTTAGAGTTAATCAGACTTTCCCAGTTTGACAATCAGTGGGTTATTTCAGAAAAAACAAATCATGAAAATAATAAAACGTGCCTCACCTTACTGAGGATTTGTCAACTGGACTATTGTGTCTGCCTTCCATCCCGTGAGTGGAAATATTTCCAGAACCCACCTTTCGTGTAAAGAACAAAGAGATGCAGCTGTTAAGTACGAAAAATGGACGAAATTTATGTCATCAGTTTGACTGCTGACGGTTATCAACCTAATACCATCTAGTTAACCTCTAGGCGTCATCCACCCAACCTTACTGAATGGCGGTACATGTCAGTGCAGACCAACAATTTCGAGTCCAATAAGAATCGATCGTGGGTAAGTTAAAGATCATTTCAATAAATGAATAATTTCCAAGATATTCCAATAGTTCATATGAGAGTCAGTCTGTGAATAACCTTCAGACAGCCAGAATGAGAATACAGCTCCTGAACCACACACACACACACACACACACACACAAATATTTGAACTTATTTAAACTTAGCACATGCTTAAATATGTCTGCCTCACGGGTGGATCCATTTTCCACGTTCTACCTTCCTTTTCTTTCACCTACACCAAAATCAATTAGATCGCCTGCGAAATTCATTAATTGATGTATCTCTTTCTTCTTGTTTTTCTAATGCAAATCATATATGGATAAGAATGCAAGTCTACTCATTAACATCGAATAGAGTACATGGAATAGCCGTCAAATCTCTACCTCAATTTAATCAATTTCAAAAAGGCCTTCAACAGAGTTGATTGGAAACGACTTCAACAATAAAAAATGCACCAAATATCCATCAACCTCATTCAACAGCTGCGATTTGTCAGGTGATCCACAATGGATAACTCAGAGAGGCGTTCGAAGCAAAGACAGGAGTAAAACAAGGCTGCCTATTGTCATCAATGATACTCCTAATTGTAGTGGACTGCATTATACGGAAGTCTATGCGTTGAGACTGAGAAGATAAGAATACATTGGACCGATAAGAAGACCCTAGAAGATCCAAATTTCGCGCATGAAAGACTTATGTTTAGTGTCACACATACTCAAAGACTTGTGGGCGAAAACCAACAAACTGGCTGAAGATGTTAGCAGGCAACGAAGACAGGACTGCAGGTGAACATAAAGAAGAACATAGTGAACCGACCAACCAACCGACAGCAGCAACAACAACCAGCACTAATCACCATCAATGGGAGAAATCTGACAGAGGTTATCTCCTTCACTTATCTAGGAAGCATCAGTTCAACTACAGATGACAACAGAGGTGAAGATATCGGAACCCAAATCGGAAAGATAGAGGAGATCTTCATCAGTCTGAGATCTTTGTGGAAATCTTCCGCATTCCACCTCAGCATAAAAAACAAGATTAGCATTTTTAACATCATGTTAATTCAACTACTTCTATATGGATCATAAAGTTGTTCTACACGTCACAAAATAGACAATTCTAACAGACTGCAGACGTTTATCGAAGACTGACTTTGCTGGGTTAATACTGAAGATCAGATAGTCGGCCAGAAAGAACTGGGAACAAAAAACTCTGGGAGAGAACCAATCGTGAACCTGTTACTCAACAAAGTGGTCGAAAGGAATGGAGATGAACCGGACGCAGTCTGAGCAGAACCGTTGAGTGACATAGCGCATGCATCAATTATGCATGACATCGTGTGAGGGAGAGAGATGGAGCCTATGGGCAACCATGGAACCAGATGAAGAGGACTGTAGAGGACAGGAAAAAGTGGAGGCGTACGGTTGAAGTCCTATATTCCATTCGGAACCCAAGAAAATAACAATATGTAACAATAATAATGGTAATTTGGTAGTTATATCAATCAGTTAACCAATTAGTAATACAATATTCTTATTTTGTTTTGTCATCTTGAATTATTCATTTATTTCTTCTTCTATTCTTGATTCATTTCATAATCATAATTTTCGAGTACATTATAAAAAAAATAAACAAATTTCAAAACAAGAAAAATTAATATTTTAATTCTATAGATGGAAAGCACTCTTTGTTTGTTTCTCCTTCTGAATAAGCTACTTATTGTAAATAAAGTAGTAAAATAACAACGTCATGTCCTATCGATCGGTTTACTATCTTCAGAACTACAATCAACTTTTATTGGTGAAGTTTGAAAGCCTCCCCTTTTACATACTATTACTACTACTACGACTACGACTAATACTATTTGAAATATCCAGTCAAAATAAATTTGCTACCCTGACCGATTACACTGAGTATCACTCATGAAAGGCAGCGAAAATAGAATGAAGGCGAGAGGCGAGTGTAAATCTGTGTGTATGTATGTGTGTGTGTGTGTGTGTGTGTGGAGGGAAAATAACTAGTTGATTATGCATGAACTGAACTGTTTAATATATATACGTGGCCAGTGCACTGTATATCGATCGAAAAGACTACTGCAAAGTGCTCGCCTTCTATCTTTATTGTTTTTTGCCCCACCCCACCCCAACTCTGTCTCTCTCTCTGTCTTTCCAATAAATGCACGATTATCTTAGTTGATTAGTAATCAGTTTCGACGTTTCAAAATTCAGTTTTAATTTGTATTCAATTTGGGGAATGAATGATTAGTTAGTGATCAGTGTTGACTTTTAACATTTTTAAGCAACATCATATAAACTTTTGTTATTTTAATTTTGATTAATTTCCCTGAAGCAGTTCGGATCAGTTTGCTCAACTAAACGTTGGAATTACACGCTTCAAGTTCACTGAGATATTTTACAAATCAGACAGCATATGCAGTTTGGTTTTTACTTCAATTAATTTTTAAAAATTCACTATCTTATCACATTGAACATCTCAGAACGTGAAGGTGACGAAAAAGCCAAATGGACTCCTCACTTACCACATGGTCAACGAATAACAGTAAAAGTAAGTGTGATAGTTCTAAAGAGATTTTGTATGAAATTGTTAAACTTATTTTGTTTTAATTATTGACTTTTATTTGCTTTTGTGTGACTTTTAATTGCATTATTTAATGATAAGCTCATGACAGTACGATGTTCTGTATGTGAGTCTGTCATCAATATCCCTGAGATGTAGCGGCTAAGTACACACACACACACACGTATGAACGATATTCATACAATCACGTTCAAATCGTGGAAATACCCACCGAGACTCCCTTGATTATCACTTGATTTGATTGGTAGTAGTATTTTCCATATTTCCGGTATGAGTGATGAATCATTCCCATTGAATGTGTTTGGTGTGTTTGGTGAAGACTCGATGACCAACGAGGATTCAGTAACCAACCTCTCCTTCTCTCCACCTATCTAGATTACTTTTTAGAATTTTAACCCTCTCCCACCACCCTATTGTGTGGTTGTGTGTCAATGCATGCAGTGCAATTCAGTGCTGAGCTTTTTTCTAAATTACTTATCTTCTCGGGTGGGGTCAACCATTCTTACCTTAGCTAAATTCTTATGTTCTGACAATCTGACTACCCTTGACCTACTAGTTTCACCTATGTAGTTGATTAAACTCACAGTCATTGCAGGGTATTTTGTAAATTATATTATTTTGTCTAATTGGGTCAACTGGGTCCTTTAACCTACAGAGCCTGTCCCTGCTTGAGTGAGTTTGTAGGTTTAAATGCCACTCTGATTCCTGATTTATTTAGAATCCTACGTAGGGTCTGAGATGTCCCCTCTTTATATGGTATAACTGTTCATGACTTATATTCTCTCTTATTTATGTTCTTATTACTAGTTTCACAATTATTTTTATTTTATTATTGCTTTGGCCATTTTGAACCTCCCTAGTGAATTTTATAGGATAGTTAGTTATTTAACACCAACGCCTCTCCTATCTGTTATATTTCATCATTTAGGTCTTTTCTTGTGCTACTTAGTGCCACTGCTCGGTTTGTTAAACACTTAACTAAGCCTGCCTTAACAGTCAACGGATGAGATGAATTAAAGTCTAAGTATCTATTAGAATGAGTTGGTTTTCTGTACACACTAGTGTGCAGTTTACCTTCTTCTATTCGTTTTATTTTACAATCTAACATCACAGCTAATTCTCCTTGTTCATTTTCCGATTCAAATGTGATTCAAAGTTGGTGATCAACCTCTCATCAAATGTACTAAGCTCTTGTAGGATAAAAGTACTTTAGAAAGTACTAAATTTCAACGTAAAAGTTAATAAATTAAAGCCAGAGGATGTCATTCCTAACATAGAAGTAGCACTAGGTTGAATAGATAAGACGACAGCAGAAGAGGTTCGAGCTCAATGTGCATTAACCCTGAAAAATCAAAACAAAACGAAATCAAACTTAACAAAATCGGAAAAAGAAGCTTTAATTAGTCTAAAACAGGATAAAAATATTGTCATCGTAAAAGCTGACAAAGGAGACGCCACCATAGTTCGAAATAAATCTGATTATATCAAAAACGTTGCTGAACATATTCAAACAGGTCCATATGAAGAAATTAAGAAGCCTGTGGACACAATAACGAATAAAGTTAAGACATCTACAGCAGAACTAATATGCAGAATGAAGCAGTCACTGGGTGAGTCAAAATGGTTTAATTTAACGCCTGAAACTATTAATGCAAGTAGAATGTATGGTACTAATAAAATACATAAGCCAGGTTACCCGATAAGACCAACAGTAGATTTTAGAAATACCCCCACGTATGAATTATCAAAACACTTAGCTCTAATATTATGCCCATTAGAAATCTTTCAAATTCTAGACTAACTAATTCATATGAGATGTAAAATAAACTAAATGACATTCAACTAGCCAATGATGAAACAATGGTTAGTTTTGATGTAACTAGTCTTTATACTAATATACCAGTCAATATGGCCTTAGAAGCAGTCAAAAGAAGAACTAACTGCGGATCCTGAACTCAATCATAGGACAAAGCTGCCCATTGAACAAATTTTTTTAGGGATTCGGTTATGCCTCACATCTACTATCTTTAAATTCCAAGGTAAAATATATAGACAAACAGAAGGTGTAGCAATGGGATCACCAATATCCCCTATTATAGCAGATATATTTATGGACAGCTGGGAAAGTAGTGTTCGTAGTACATTTAATCCTACTCCAAAAATTTGGTGCGGGAGATATGTGGATGACACTTTCACAGTGTTAAAAACAGAACATATTTCTAGCTTCTTGACACACATAAACTCACTAGTGAAGGGAATAAAATTCTCATCTGAATCAGAAAATGAACAAGGAGAATTAGCTGTGATGTTAGATTGTAAAATAAAACGAATAGAAGAAGGTAAACTGCACACTAGTGTGTACAGAAAACCAACTCATTCTAATAGATACTTAGACTTTAATTCATCTCATCCGTTGACTGTTAAGGCAGGCTTAGTTAAGTGTTTAACAAACCGAGCAGTGGCACTAAGTAGCACAAGAAAAGACCTAAATGATGAAATATAACAGATAGGAGAGGCGTTGGTGTTAAATAACTAACTATCCTATAAAATTCACTAGGGAGGTTCAAAATGGCCAAAGCAATAATAAAATAAAAATAATTGTGAAACTAGTAATAACAACATAAATAAGAGAACAAGACGTATAAGCGATCAATAGTGTTTTCAATTAGATCTTCTTCAGGCTTCACTCTAATTTACATAGACTCATATATGAAAATTTTAATAAATGACGGTGATTTTATGAATCAAATAATAATGATAATGTGGTAAATATTTTGAACGAAATAAATAACGGTGATTGTAATGGTAACAAGTTATTCACAATAAGGTTTATGCAGGTAGCGATAAGAATAACAAAGTTAGTATATATATATATACAAAAATATATATATATTTTTGTATATATATATATATAACAAATGCATTAATAACCATCTTCCTTCATGGTTTGGTAAAGGTCAAATACAATCCACACGTAGTTCTATTTTGGCTCATTTAATTGATAGCGGTCACCAAGTGGACAAAAATAGTGCCTTCAAAGTTATTTACCGCATTCCATCCAGTCTTTCGAACTGAATCAGAACCCGTCTTTTACACTTAGCCGAAGCCATGGGAATTCGAGAGAACAATCCTAGTCTTTGTATACAACAAAAGAAGTTTGTTCTACCTTTGTCTCTCCCTTGGCCTAGGTGAATTCTATTCAAAACCCTCTCAGCCTTTCTTATTTTCCATCTCCTTCGTACTTTTATGATATTTATTTAAACTCTGATTGTCTGTCCACTTCACCTTTAGTATTACGTAACTTTTAAGATTTGACCTAATTTATTTATTTATTGAATCGTCTATATATACACATATTACTATCTTCGTTATTGTTATCGCCACTTGCATAAACCTTATTATGAATATTTTGTCACCATTATAATGACCGTTATTAATTTTGTTCAAAACATTTACCACATTATCATTATTATTTGATCCATAAAATCACCGTCATTTATTAAAATTTTCATATATGAGTCTATGTATATTAGAGTAAAGCCTGAAGAAAATCTAATTGAAAACACTATTGTTCGCTTATATGTCTTGTTCTAATATTATAAATGGGAATATTTAAAGATTATAAATAAGAGAGAATATAAGTCATGAACAGTTATACCATATAAAGAGGGGACATCTCAGACCCTACGTAGGATTCTAAATAAATCAGGAATCAGAGTGGCATTTAAACCTACAAACTCACTCAAGCAGGGACAGGCTCTGTAGGTTAAAGGACCCAGTTGACCCAATTAGACAAAATAATATAATTTACAAAATACCCTGCAATGACTGTGAGTTTAATCAACTACATAGGTGAAACTAGTAGGTCAAGGGTAGTCAGATTGTCAGAACATAAGAATTTAGCTAAGGTAAGAATGGTTGACCCCACCCGAGAAGATAAGTAATTTAGAAAAAAGCTCAGCACTGAATTGCACTGCATGCATTGACACACAACCACACAATAGGGTGGTGGGAGAGGGTTAAAATTCTAAAAAGTAATCTAGATAGGTGGAGAGAAGGAGAGGTTGGTTACTGAATCCTCGTTGGTCATCGAGTCTTCACCAAACACACCAAACACATTCAATGGGAATGATTCATCACTCATACCGGAAATATGGAAAATACTACTACCAATCAAATTAAGTGAAAATCAAGTGAAAGATAACGGAACTATAGAAATGAAGTCAGGAATTCCTGTGACTACCTTGATATGATTATTAGCAATAAATTTTACTCGAAACGTCATCAGTAAACATTACTGTATAACACTGTGAGACTTTATGAAAAGAAAATTAGCTAATAATATAATTACACTCTACCACAGTGCACAAGTTTTATTCTTATCCCCATCATGACATCAGAGGGAAAAGTACAGGCAGTACAACAGAGGTATCTTTTCGGTGATTTCATTCTCAACAGCTGTACAATCGAATTTTTAGAGATTAATTTACATGAATACAATTCTGATTTGTTAATTTACACATAGTAACGTAGGTGATAATAATTTTCAACTTGATATGAAAGTTTCAATGGAGGAATTTAGGTTACAGGGGGCTTAGAGACAAGATTGCATAGGATTAGATAACAGTTACACCGTATGCAAAATTAATATTTGATAACTGGAGAAATCATTTTAAAGGCGAATAAAAGGTGACAATTGTCTTCAAATTGATATGAATTACAAGAGGCTGAGAGACGCAGGGATAGAACGAATTACCGGTGTGAACGAATTGAGCATTGAAACAAATTGAAATCAAAATTTTCAACTTGAGATGGAAGCTAGGAGGTGTGAATATAGATTACAAGAGGCATAGAAACAAAAAAATTACACAAGATTAGAATATGATTGTAAAATGGTTATTCTATACGGATTAAAATTGTGATAAGGAGGAGCACGGAAAAAAACTTAAAGCAACTGATTTTATAACTGAAAAAATGGGATGAATTGAATGAAGGCAAACAGAGAAAATTACACACATAGAGGACAAAACAAAAAAACTGAAAGATAAGGGAAAGGTTGGACTAGTTTCTTTTGAACACATTGCTTTGGCTTTTCGATGCGTATGGAGAGAGCTTCCGTAGTACAAAGAAGTCGGAAACACACTGCTTTTGGTAGACTTTTGTTTACTTTTTAAATGACTCTGAATGATGCGCCAGTTGAGATTTTGTGACAGGTATTGGCTAGGTGTTCAGTTATGGCGCTTCCGACTGACCCATTGCCTCCTCTTTGCAGCCATGCTGGATGATGTTCTCTAACACGTTTTGATAAGACCTGCGGAGAACGACCTATGTACCTAGCTCCGCAACAGCAGGTGAACTGATATAAACACATTGAAGTGGTTATATGCAGACGTCTGTCCTCCCTATTGCTCTCTCTCACTCTTAGTGTAGCTGTTGGAAATATGGAATTAAATAAATAATAATTGTATCCACGTAAACTAATCTATATAAATGCGATTTTGCAGTGACTGAGGTTAACATACAGACTTCGATAGTTCATAGTGAAACACTTGAAAGAGTTAACGTTTCTATGTGTAGAAAAACAATTTTTGATGCGTTTTGACGTTCTACAGATAGTCAGTGAAATGTAGATAGATGAATCTTGTTAATCAAGTCTTCCTTAAAATTCAGTTTGTTAAATTATGTGACATCTAGAACATGGCAAGAACAACAATTGTACCAGGATAATATGAGTTCATCTTCTATTATTTCGAGGATTCTTCTCAACTGGTTACAATCTGAACGATAAAAAATATATATGAATTACATTAAAGATTTGAACATACTTTTCCACGATCGCAAGTAGTAATTGGTAGGAATTAAGAGTAACATTAGTTCGGAATGATTTAACGGATTAGGAGTTACAAACACTGACTGTTTATAGAATAATCAGATAATTAGGCATGGAAAGAAAAAGAACAGGGTTGCGTATGTATGTGTGTGTATATAAACAAGGTTTATCTACAAAGAACATAACGAAAAATTACGTAACTAAAGAAAACGTCTTATCTAATAGTCAATAGAAAAAAGGAAAGGAAAGAAAGAAGGTAGAGTGAGTCATGTTTAGATGAGAGAGTAGAGTTTTCTAAACATGAAAAAGGTGACTCATGAAAGTTGTATGTTTTTTTGTTATCACCAGGGCAGTGCAAGATTCACCATTGTCTCCTTCTGCGTACATAGATTTGGTTTAAGTCGTTTGATGGCGATTGCTTCAGCATAGCGTAGCAAGCTAGGTTTCTTTTGCTTGTTGATTATTTTGAACGACTTCAGGTTGTCTACATTATGACCGGTGTCCAGTAGATAACGCACAATCGCACTGTTTAATGCTTGCCGAACTTTCGACCTCAGGTTCTTTGGTGTGTGTTCATAAATGCGGACACTAACTCTTCTCTCTGTTCTTCCAATGTCGTATGTGCTTTGGCACGTACACGTAAATTGGTAGACACATTTGGAGGTAACATGGGGTGGGTATTTGTTCACTTTTGATTGTCTCATACAACTAGTTGTTTGATAAACACATACATGCTTGGCGGCTGGATATGTTCTCTTCATGACAGCGTTCAGTCTGCATCTTATTCTACTAGCAGTATCATCACCTTTGAATGAAAGTTGCAGAAAGATAGGCTTTTTCTCTACTGCACTGCTTTTCACTTTTTCAAGATGACGTCTTCCATACTTCTCGATGAACTTTTGAGGGTAACTATTGTCGCGTAGGCATTTCTCCACAATGGATAGCTCTTCCTCAGTATTTTCTTCTGAATAAGGTTTCCTCACACAATCAGATAGTGTTCTCACCAGTCCCTTTTTGTAACTTATAGGGCAGCTTCCTCAATCTTTTCTTCTCTTGTGACATCTCTTGTTCATTCTTCTACTACTGATCTAAAGACGTCGACAGTACGAGAGATACACTGACGCCGTAATTTGATTATACCAAATAATCCACCAACCACTACTGAATTGCGTCAAGCTATGGTTATGCTATTCAGAAATTTTCTCACATAAGCCTGCATGAAGACGTCACCAGATAGGCTTTTCTGTAAGTTTACTAGGAACCTCTGATATTCTTCACATTAGCAGTGACAAAATATCTCGCCTACGAGATCAACTGACACTTTTTGCATCTTACGTGATAAGTTCCATGCAAATTAGAAGAGAAGATCAATAAATTTGAATAGTTTGTTAAACTGTACTTGGGATTTTTGAATTCTTTTGTCCCACCATTATTGGTCTTAGTATTGCAGTGATAAACGCAGCTTAGATTTCTACTTGAATTCAGCAGATTCTGCTTACACTTTGTCAAGTAGCTAGAAAACATCACGGATGATAACAGACAACCATTTCTCATTACGCCCAGGCCTTATCGCTTTTAAAACTCGATTCATACAGAAAGTGTGTCAGATCCAGGTTCCACAATGCACTATGGGATGCAGCTGTTTGTATTATCTAATCATCCGTGGACAGAAATTTAGATCACAGTCAGAAACTGTAGTACCTGTTATGATATGACAGAATTTGTTAAAAAGAAGCCTAATAGTCTAGGGAATGTCTGTAATTTTGATTAAGGATAGGTGATAGACAGGGTAGACCTCTTATTTGATGGTGACAGACTTGTAATGTGTGAGGCGATGAGTACAGTATGTCTTAAGGCAATAGTCATTCCGGTTGGTAAAATACCCGATGAATAAGGGAACTGGATATTACATGGTAGTGGTGACCTGTAAACTTCGGACACCAACTTATTCTCAGCAGAAGACTGTTAGGTAGCACAGTAATTATGACTCTCGCCGACCCTGCGCATGGTCCAAGGTTCGATCACCTGCCGACGAACACCTGTTACCGATGGTCGGCCTGAAAAATTTAGGCTACCGATATTCATGCTGAAAATTCCATACTTGTACCAAAAATACAGTGTGGAATCAAGCTGTAATCAAAATAAATAAATTAATCGCATTACTGTTCATAATGAGACCTGAATAGAGAACAGAGAAGACGAAGCATTCTTGGTGCTGCCAATCAGTTATCGTGCATTATTACTATGATTCAAGGCATTGAATCAATCACCTCGTTTAACTCTCCTTGATTTCGCCCAGTTATTTTGTGGTGTTGAATGTACTAACAATGTTCTCTATTGTCTTTAGATGTAGACGAGAAAAATGTCGGTGTGGCACATCGAACAGACTATAAATCAAACCTTTTTCAGACGTCGCATGATGGGAATGCCCCTCATTTAAGGATAGCATTAAACAGAAGTCCTCCAACCTTAACTACTGGAAGACCATGTCTTGCTGGTACCCAAACTTTGAAGCATCAACAAGCCGAAGACAAACGAATCAGTCTGAATTTGACCAATGAAAGCTTCTTTAGTTTGAATGCTCGCGAGTGTACTGAAGAGTCGAGTGGAATTGGCCACGTGTTGTCTGACCAGGGTAATCCAAGTTATTTTGAGAATGAAAACAAGTATGAAGCTAATTTACTTTGCGCTAAACAAGGTCAAGTAAGACTGGAGGAAAATACCGGTGATATGAGTGTAGAGAGGAGTGATGAGTTTATAAATGGTTCAGGTAATGGCAGTAACAATTACAATAATCGGTGGGATCCAGTTATCAAATCAGAGTATCGACCCCTTGGAGCTCAAGCAAAGAACTCTAGTGTAGCTGTAACAGCTTCACCTTCAAGCTCAGGAAGATCAACAGTTCATTACGCTTGTGATGACGAGTTTGATTACGATTCTATGGTTGAGCAGACACATAAGATTGCCAGTAAGGATTTTCAGACACTGGACGATAATCTAACATTTATAGCAAGTTATGTGGAAGAGCTGACAGGCTGTGGTGAGTCAAGAAAATTGACATCGGCAACAGCTGCAGATAATCGTATTGAGAATTCACCATTAACCCATAAATTTACAACACCAAACAAGCCACGATATCAACAACAACAACAACAGCGACAGCCATCACCTCAGTCAATAGGCACATCACTACCACATCCTGTTCATAAACAAGAAGACTACCAACCTCAAAAACTGCAGCAGCTACAACAATTGTGTCAAAGTGCAGTTTGGTTATTGTCAACAGGGAACAGTACTGTGATTGGAAAAGGTAATTTAAGGTTGGTTGCTGTTTGATTGGTTGCTATTTATTTATAACATTATCAGTTGGTTGGTAAAGATGTAAAAGGGGTTAATTTATCTAATTTCAGTAAATACAGTAACGGTTCTTTGTTGTCTGGTTTTTAATACACTTTTCAGCGTATAATTTGAAATGTATGTAAGTGATGGGAAGTAGGTTTTTGTGCTGTCTGTCACCAAAGCTTAAAGATACGGACATAAAACTAAGTACTCAGTCCTCAGTCATGCACTTGTGAATATGGTGCGTCCCACCTCACTATACTGGGTCTCAGTAGGTGGTCAGTTGAGTATCATTATTATGTACACATTGTTTTCTGGCACTGCTTGAGTTCCTAGAGGAGCACAGTACCAGCAACGGTGCTGGTGTTTTTACAGGGTATGACTGCTAGCATCACTATTAACCTTCCCTTCTTCCAGGTGTTACTTTCGTCTAGGACCGTGTCAACTAGAAATCAAACCTAGCTGTCTTGCGTCATCCGCGTGCATTTTCTATCATTACAACAGTGGAGCATGTGCATACATTTAGTGGGGTTAACAACCTTAGGTTAATATGTTCACTGTGCTGCATTGGTTACGTCAAAATAGAAGTACGAATAAATCTGGATGAGTAATATGAACGACCATTTATCTTGTTATAATTCTTATGTAGAGATTCATAATGGTCATTACCTCACATACAATTTCGAATGATAAGTCACTGAATTACGAAACTCTTATTTTTACATTATTCGTGATGTGTCTGTTCATTTTGTTGATCATTTCATGAGATTAATCATTAAGCTATGTGCTCTTCTTACATACAGATCTCACTAATTCCCTAACCGAAGACTTCCTTCTCAGCTTCTCGGCAAATCCAAATATCACTGAGAATCTATTGAACAGTTTCTTGACGACTGTTGATTCACTTAATGAAAGAGGTAATCGACGACCTTTAACTGAATCTGATCAGTACGATAAACCATCTCCTTTCACAACATATCACTTACCGAACCAGAATTGTCGAGTTACCAAAAATGACTTGACATCACGTGAGGAATGTCTCTACAGAAATATTCTCCACAATACATCAAATGTATCAACTCAAAAGAACTTCCAGGATATGCATTCAGTTGATGTGCATCGTATCAGCAGTAGTAATGAGAATTCAGTAGGTGCTTTACGTAACGGAAAGATCAGTGCACCACGAAATCCCTCATCATCAGCTGACTACAATCGTTTGGTTAATCCACCCACACAGCTGATTGCTAATGATATAACGACGGATTTATTCTCCCAAACAACTTCGAATTATACTCCATTTCTAGTGAAATTGTTGAACATGTCTCAATCACCAATGAACACCTCAGGTGGTCAAATGAATACTACAGTATTACAAGAACAGACTGATGTAATCCTCAATCTTTTGGTAAATCAGAGGGCCAGCATTCAGTCGAATTCAGTATGTAATAATAACAGTGATAATAATAATAATGTTGGTAATAACCTCCCACAAATGTCTCACGAATATTCTGCAGTGGGGCGCATAACAAGTTTAGCCAGTTCATCCCTATCTGGTTATCAAGGGAATATTTCTACCCTCTCTTCATCCTGCCAAAACGATCAGTACCCAATGTTAAACAGAAGTCTTACTGAAAATCTGTCTCAGGTGATCTCCCCTTATCAACAACGTCTGAATTCATTCACAAATGATGTAGACAAAGTTGCTACTGTCTATAGGAATTCAGCGGGTAGGTTTTAAGAGTGAACTTGTCATCAGTTGACATCTTCACTTTATCTGCATATTTTATTAGTAACAACATGTCTAGAAATAGGGAATTTTATTTTTATTTTATTTAATTTCTGTTACAGCTTGATTCCACACGGCATTTTTGGTACAACTATGGAATTTTCAGCATGGATATCGGTAGCCTAAATTTTGCAGGCCGACCATAGATATCAGATGTGCGTTGGCAGGGATCGAACCTTGGACCATGTGCATGGTCGGCGAGAGTCCTAACCACTTTGCCACCGACGTAATAATTAGCTTACAGAAAGTGATGCTGTTCCCCAACATGTTTACCTCTGTACACCGTACCTCAAAGATTTGCAGGTTTGAAGTCCAGAGAAGAAAGATTTAAGTGAGAAAAAACATTTACTGGACGAACTACTTATCAGAATTTAGTTCATTTAAGACTATTCCGCTTTTTGTGAAACTTCATGCATTTATTCCCCTTGATGAATTTGAATAAAGCAAGAACAACAGTGGTTTAGCTGACTACATCAATAGACATAGCCTATCCTGCAACTAAGCTCGTTCCCGTCCATCGAACAACTTGCTCTTTGGTGCAATCAAAAATCGATAGATATCCTCCTCATGTTAATTCCAACTGAATATAGAAATTTACAAGTATCTTCGGGAGCAGTTACATTGGGAGGACAAAAAGAAGGGGATATCTACGATTTTCTGAATATGTACCAAAAAGCTTACGTCTAAAGGGAACAAATGCTTTAAACAATGCCATCGCCAGGCATCTCCTCGAAACGGGTCATAACGTGGAAATCGAGAAGTCGTTTAAAATTATCAACAGAAAAAGAAGCTCAATTCTCTTCAGGTTTTCCGAAGCAATTTCTATCAAACGCTTCAAACCAGCAGATTTATGTGTTCAGAAAGAAGCAGTTATTAATTAGTCTTCCCTTGCCCTGGTAACTGGATGCCTTTATTATCTCATCTGATTACGTAATCTTTGTCTTTAGCCTCACCCCTCTTTTTTCTATAATCTGTAATTTTGCTTGTCTCTTGTTTCTATGACGTGAGTTGAACTCAGTACAATGTTACCTAATTTATTAGTCACTCTCCATCTTACGCATATCTAGTCTTTATTATGTAACTCCTTTGCCACTGTATGCATACATTTATTTTGTTTTAACTTGAACTGCCTGTGTAAAAACTATACAAGCGCAATTTTCTGAGCACTATTCACTAATTGTGGAACTTTCTGTCAACTGACAACATGTAAAATTTGCAAGTATGCTAAAACTTTTCTGAACGTAAACCTCATAATTTATTTAGGCTGTATGCAGCTGATGAGGAGCCAACAAAATAAATGATGGTACCAAATTATTCTGCACAAACCACTGTTGTTCTTGCTTTATTCAAATAAGATTTTCCCGGTGACTGATTGGATGAAAGTGCTGAGTTTCAGGTTGACATATGGGCTTCTTGTGCAAAAATGGTAGTTAATTTAATGGAAAATTATTTATCTAGTTAACAGATTTGGCTGCCGTTCGTTAGATTAGGCGTTCAACCACGACTGTAACACTGTTCTTCTCACTTCAGCTTTAGATGTCATGAAAGGTGCATAATTATGCACTTGGCTGCTGAATAAACTACTGGTCAGTCAACCATTCATGTTTTTGTCTGATACAGAAAACTGGTGAGCATTATGTTTCCCATTTCAGGTACTCTAGCAGCCAAAGGCGAAACCATCTATCAGTGGTCGGGGAGACTACCGCTTGCCAATCACAAATCTGGACCGTTTTCTCGGAAAGTATTTCTTGGTGGGTTGCCGTGGGATAGTACAAGCGATAAAATAATGAAAGCTTTTTCTCGATTTGGCAAAGCTACTGTCTGCTGGCCATCAAAGGATGGTAGCCCTATAGATAACAAGAGATATTCAAGCAGAGGTAGGTGATTTTATGAATAAATAGTAAGAAGCCCAATTTCCCCTTACTTTGTTTCATCTGACTGACGCTGGAAAATCTTCCTATTTTAGGCTACTGTTATCTAATATTTGAAGAAGAGACTTCTGTTTCTAAACTATTGGCAAACTGTTTCGAAAATCCTAACAAAGCTGGATATTACTACAAAATGTCAAGCCCTAAGTTCGTATCCAAAGATGTGCAGGTAGGCACATGTTTTACGGTGAATCTTACATGTTTGTTCAAGAGTGTGCTGTTGAATAATTTCTCTTAGCTGTAACTTCAAGATAGTGGAAAAGATTGAAATTTATAAAATGAAATCATCCCATGAATATTGGAATGTTTGTGGGTTTTATCGAGCTTATGATATACACTGTTGATAAATCGACTGAAATTCCTTTGAAGTAGGTTATCCGTCATATGCAAATATGCATATCGCTAACTCATTGGGTCGCCAAAACAAACACCTACAAAATAAATTTAACTCTTCTCAAGTCTGTCTACGGAACACTTCGTACTTCACTCGAGTTAGCTGACACTCAGACATACTATGTCGGCAGAAAAATAGTAAATTCTTCTTACCCGCGAGGTAGACTACACCCCTCCCATGATTATGGACTGACAAATAATTCTCCAGGTAAAACGTACAGTTCATACGTTCCACCATATTCCGTACTTCGACACGTGGAAAGCGTTACGCAAGCGATGACAGTAATTTGTTTTAATCCAAAACAGTACTTATGATACGGTGTGGAACTCTCAGCATTGCAACTAATTTACTCGACAACAGCATAACCTAAAATAAAAATATCAGGGTATGTGCAACCAAGATTGATAATCGCAGCTTTTTGGTATTAGCAGGGAAGATATGTGCGTCAGTGGCACAGAGGTTAGGACGCTCTCCGACCATGCACATGGTCCGGGGTTCGATCCTCGGCCGACGCACTCCTTTACCTCGTTAGGGCAGAAATAATGCTGGTAAAGAGGAAAGGTTGAGCATGAGACTAGCAACCCCAACCTGTAAAAGCAAACACTGCTACAGAAACTTCAAGCCACTAGCTTGAAGCTCTATGTTCCACTGGGAACGTGAAGGAAAAAAAAGTGAAGATAAAGTCAAAATGTAGAAAATGTGTACAATGATGACGATAATAATGCTAATAGTTAAAATTGTAAGCTGATTGAAATAGTGTCACCATAGATTATAAATGGCGGGGGGTTAAAAAAGAGCCAGTTATTTTGCAAATGACATAGCAAGTCGTAGGTTTCACGTCTAACACTATCTCCATCACGTAGAACATGGGCCAAATAAGGTACTGTTGAGTTTTTGTACTTTTTTATACAAACATATAATCTTCCATAATGACCTCTATTCCTACCAGATGAGATGCAACACGGGGAGATTTGAGAATTGAGAGGGTTTGACAGTCAGACACTGTGGACTTAGAGCAATTCTCACATGAGTTTAGGTGTCTATCGACTATAATGATAACGAGGTGACTAAGTGGCACACCACTTGCCCTACTGACAAACATGATCCACTTGCACAGTATGATATAATCTTTTCTGAGTAGTCCAGGGGAGACTTAGTGGTGGGAAACAATCAAGAACAACAGGCAAGCTGCGAGGGTTATCAAATAGAAAAGTAGAGGTTGAGTAGTAGGTTGGACGGAACACTTTCATAAAACGTTGGCAAGATGTGGGATAACAATGAAAGTTCAGAGGATATAACTATTACAAGGTACGTAATGCTTGACTTAGTCTCTATTTCAGAGCCCTCAGTACTACATGCATCTCGTGAATAGACTAGTTAGTGTGGATCACGTTTATGCCTAAAGGTGAATCTAACTTTTTGACATTTGGAGGGAATTAACATATGGCCGCTTAGCTTAGATCACTGGCTGATGTCCAACAAAAAGGTATTAATTCTGGAACAGTCAGATCGGAGGAGGTATTTGGTCGCTTCTGTAACTCGTATATCGATCAGAAGAAGACAATTGAGACTGGAGTGCGATTTATTCTACTTCATTACAACAATTTTTTTCAACATGTTGAATTGAATTATTTGAACAAATTAGCGCATTCTGCATAATATCAGCCTATTTACACAGAGCATAAATGTCGCGAAAATGAAATAAATTCTGTGATGTATATTTGACAGTGGACAGGAATGCAACTCCACAAGCACGTGTCTCTGATTTTATATCTGTCAGACAAATGAAGTGTTACTCACTGCCGTGCTGAATGAAAGCCAATGACTACTGTATTGTGTTGCAAAGAACTCTGCAAATTTTGGAGTGTTTTAATGAAAAATAATAAAACATCGACTTACTATCAGCTGAGCAAACGTTTTTTCCTTTCAGCAATATGCAAAGTGCATTTTACTTCACACAAATCGCTGCTCTGCATCATGTCCTCTTGAATAGTCTAAGAAAGTGAAGCAGGTCACTTTTGTGTTCTATGGATGTTGTGGATATAAGCAGTATCAGACATTCATCTGCTTTCTTCATAATAAAAGCTGTGATTGAGCTGTTTTTTAGATGGATAACGGATGCTTCCTGACTAAATTAAATTAAACTAACTTAGAGACCAAAACTAAAATCAAAATCATCCATTTGAGCTACAGATCCCTGTCAGATACTCAGAGAAATTTCAGCACAGAGTTATTAAAACTGAATAATATCTCACTGCATAATTTTCATCAGTGGAAGCGTAGAACAAATAGACGAATAGGACTGTAGGTGAATTTAGCCTACAAGTTAGTGTCGAATGTAAGTCGTGGTGAGTAGAGCAGATAACCAATGGCTTATTAAAGTGAAATCTCGTGTATCCATCTGATCATTTGTCAACGTTATCCACCTGCGAATATCTTTCCTTCATAAAGATGTCCACACTCAGCTTATCCTGGAATCTGGCGTTTTCAGTTAATATTAATGCCTGTTAAGTGTAATCCCTCTGATGAAATTTAAAGAAAAATGTGCTACCTCAAACTGGTAGTCAGTGTCACATTTTGGATTTTCTTGTATTCTAGGTGATCCCATGGGTTTTAAGTGATGATCACTTCTCAAAGTCAACTCCCAACCCGGAGGATATGAGACGTTCTGTATTTGTTGGAGCTCTGCATGCATTGATTACCGCAGAAGCAATCGTGAAAATTATGGATGATATATTTGGAAATGTTGTTTACGCGACTTTGGATACAGATCGGTACAAATATCCTACTGGTGAGTCTGTGCAGTGAAACATAACAGTCATATTGCACCATTATATATGTCGTCGATTAACATGACTAGAGAACTGTATAGGTGATTCACTTTGTCAGCATATTATACAACCTATTGACCCAACAGTCCACAATCATTTGTATGCCACTTCTTTCATCAAAACCGGAAGATATGTAATATATAGGGTGGCACAGTGGTTAGGACTCTCGCCGGCCATGCACATGGTCCGAGGTTCGATCCCCTGTGGACGAACACCTGATATCTATGGTCGGCCTGCAAAATTTAGGCTACCGATATCGGTGCTGAAAATTCCATAGTTGTACCAAAAATGCCGTGTGGAATCAAGCTGTAATCAAAAATAAAATAAAAAATAAATAAAAATAAAAATAGTCGTAAATGCTGGAGCATGGGACATTCAAGTGTGGTTAATATATGGCTCATTAGACTGAAACCTGAATATTGAAGCAGTGGACTGCTGGTTGCAACCTATTGCAAGTATGTCTGGCCTGATCAGATGTGTTGAATCATTAGACTTCCGATAAAGTTTTGTCAAATTCTCAGTATATATTAAAGCAGCGGTGCATAACACTAATTGCTGTGTCAAGGAATTTCTAAGAGTCTTAACGATTTTCTGCTAATTTAGTGAGGGTAATGATAACGACCGTACACTTTTGACAGTTGCTATGATAGTAAGTAGGAATCAATTTTTTTGTAATATTGTAACAACAGAAGACAAGGGCCAGGCAACAGATCGTTTTATTATGGAAATCAACATGTATTTATATAAATTTCGCATACATTATTATAGCCTAGTCAAGTAGACAAACGCAGTCTTCTGATTGGTTGTTTTCGAGTTCCCCGGAAAGTGGAGCCATCTATCTGTGAATCATATTTGCCCACGTTTAGGTTTGCTGTGATTGGTTGTTGAAACAGCCTTGTTCATATTTTCTCACGGCCCATATTAGTGACCTAGACATTGATGTAGATTAATGTCAACCGATTGACTAGCAGGCTGCTCTCACCACAATACAACAAATTCTCTTCTATTCATTTTGAGAAACTGAAAAAAACCAATGTCACTCCCACAGGTGGATGCACACGCGTCAGTTTTGTTTTCTCGCGTATTTCTCTATCTTTCAGGTTCTGCTAGAGTGGTTTTTTCAAGTAATAAAAGTTATACAAAGGCTATTATTGCTAATTTTGTCAATATTCGAACGTCGAAATTCATTAAAACAATTCAAATAGATCCTTATCTAGAAGATACGGTTTGTAGCAGTTGTGCCACATATCCCGGTATATATTTTTGCAGAGCATTAGAATGTTTCAAGTATTTCTGTCCAGCTTGTTGGTATGTACGGCATAAATTATTTGATAATTCCTACATGCATATACCATTACGGCGTGGAGTCAGGATGAACAGTGATCATCAATAACCAGTCGTGGTCAACACCTCCAATACTTCATCAATGAACAAGAAGTGAAGACATTGATGAGTTGTCTAGTATTTTCTCTATTTATCACAAAAAGAAACATTACTGTCTCCTCCTCATACTCTGTGTTCGAACCCTTTTACTTCCTTCATTCATTTTTATATCAAATGAGTCAACACTTTTAGTGCTACGAATGTTGAATATTTTTAATGTTTTTTTCCCTTAGGAGGACAGAGGAGAAGTTTGTGATTTTAGTCATTATATAGTTATCTAACTACCTAACTAATAATAATGATAGTTCCAGTTTTATATTTCATCGTAGTTGTGACGACTTTTATCCTAATCTCTGTACATTCCCTTCCTTCTCAGTCACTATCGCCATTTCCTTTTAATGAGCCAGTTAGTGACTAGAAATTGACAGGGATGTTGTTTTACAAGCAGACAATTTTGAATTCATCTTCTCGCTTCTGCCACTACACCGTCTACTTCTTGGTGTTTTATTACTTACAGAACTGATTGATGATTGTCTTTACTCGAGAGGTATTCAGCATATCTTATCTTAGCGTTTTGATGAAATAAACGGCTTTTAGTATAATATAAGCACATCGTTTTTAGTATTCTCTTCTTCTTCACTGTCAGAAAACGCATTGAAAAAAGGTGTCTGATGGTTTCTCAGTGTAAGATAAGAGACTAGTGGGTTGGCAAAAGAGAAAAAATGCATGGGAAAAATACAAATTATGGGTGAGTATTGCTTTACAATCTAATTCGATCCATCTGCCCACAATATTTTCACCCTCCAAATATCTGTCGGTCATTGCTAAAGACAAAATTACAACGAAAATGCAAACTGGTGAAGAAGTCACTCTCATCTTCAGATATCAAAGTTGGACATAATATGAGGCATATTTAGTCGGTAAAGTGATGTCGAAATGACACTCCACATAGAGGCAAACTGTGGAAATTCGTTGAGGTTTTATGTAGGCATCAGTTTATTGGTAAAGTTAGACAGAATCTACAACTCTGTTCTTGTGAATATCTTTTTTTAAAATATTAAGTACGAAATGATATATACTCAGTACCTCATGATATAAAGTTCGTTTGCTACTGGCATTATCTTATGTGAAACTTACCATTTGAAGATTTTTACACCAGATTCAGAATTATTGATCTCAGTGTGTTATGCACACAAATGTTCAGCCATGTCATTTATCTATCGGCTGGTATATTTATATTCCTTAATCTCAGATTTGTCTTAGGAATCATCCTTTTATTAGGAATTTCTATATAACACGTGTAATTGTTAAATTTGCCTTACAGATAATATTGGGAACAGTATCTAATTATTACTTCAGGTTATCTGACTAGCTGTGAATACAATCGGCTACCTCAACTAGACGTATCATATTGATATACGGACTGTAGTACAACAGAGTAGAGAATCATATCGCTGATTGATGGAGGAAAACAACACATTGATGATAAGAGTGTAACTGAATGACTGGACTTTCAACCTGTTCACACTAATAAACGTGAAGAACAAAAGAGTGCAACATATGCACTCTGAAGAAGAGTCTGAAAGTAGGTTGAAGAAAGTGGCCAGTGCTCCTTGGTTCTCCTTCTTATTCTTTTATTGATGATGTGTGTTTCCCAAATCTCTGAAGGGAAGTTAACACAGTAATGCACCCAGAAAAAGATTGGAAAATACTAGAATGAATAAGGCATGAGAACATGCAGAATTGAGTGAATATGTGAATATATTGATAGGGGGGCATTTTTCCTTAACTAATGTGGACAATTAGTCGGATTAATGTTTGATTGAATGAAGGATTTCATCATGAGTTGACATCGGTTGGAGGACCACTGGAAAACATGGGAGCACTGGACAGCTGTTTCGTCCTAGTTTGGGGCTCTTCAATGGTACGCACCCACCGCCACGGTTCGAAATCGGGACCTTATTGTTATGAGGAGAGCTCGTAGACCATTCAGCTACTGGGATCCGATCCAATGGTCCTTGAAATGTAACTTCTGCCAGTTCACGACGTAGCGTGAGCATTTCGCAATGTCTTCTTCGATGAATTGCTGCCTCATCTTTAACCTTCTGTACCATACTGGTCGCGGCTTCCCACTAGAACTCCAGGTTAACTACCTAATGTATTTCATAACACTGTCGAACAATGTTCCGGTTGAATAAGACGTCAAAATAATATAAAACTGGTACAATGAAAACGGATAGGAAGAAATGATATCAAACTTTGAAGAAGAGAAAGTGAATGCACATTAAAATCGAGAAAAAGAAAGTGGTGCGACAACGAAGGACAAAGACATGTGGTAGAGGGAATACATAAATTCAGATCAGTGAAGATTTTGAGAATCTTGACGGTAATAAGGAGTACACACATCTGAACCACTGATGTTATCTTCTGACTGATACTAACTCGTTTATAAGTATAATCACATTTTAGCTAGCATTCTGTATCACAGGGGACGGCGGACAGGGATATGTAACTTTTATTACGACCACCTCTTTCTATGGAATTTCACACCGCCATCCAGTAGATTACTTGATATTGCATGACGACTCTCCATAACGCCTTACACAACTGCCCTACTACTGCTAGTAGCTTTCTTTGGTTAGCATAGCAAACGCTTTGCTAACTAAATTTGGAATCAAACATTGTCACAGTACCTGTTGGTCAAAAAGAGACATATCCCGACTTCAGATTAGGAAATATGGCAGGCATTGGGCACCTGAGAGTATTGTTACTCTTCAAAACTTGTCAAAGTGAAAAACGATCTCGATCTCAATCAGATAACCGCCTAATCTAATCATACTTCGCCATTCAAGCTGATTATACTGCTATTGCCAAAAATTGTCACACAATGGGATGATCGACAATCTACACCACTCTGACAGAACTATCTCAAATTCTCACTGACAAGCAGCTACATTAACTCATCTAGTCAATGATCTTGAATAAACATCTTCAACCGCTTATGAAGTCATGATACAAGGTTATTCTGATATTCATTTCGTTCAAGAGTGGTGGCGACGATTGTAATTCCAGCCGGACATGAAGCATCTGTGTCTGCATACCATAACAGTGTGTGGCTGGATGGTAAACATCAATGTGATGGGTATGGATAAGTTTATCTGTTGCTAAATGGGTGTTTGCATCGATGTCTCCCAAGAAGTGTTAAGGTTTCCAGTCCTCGTGAATATCATTTCACTTGTTATGGCTATTTCACAGCTGTTTTGATGATAAACTTGCAAAAGCATCAACTCACCACTACAGCTAAAACAATTTCCATTTCTTTCACTTCCCTTCTGTGAAGTTAATTCCAAAGAGCACCATTTCAGTTATTCAGAATCTGCTAATTACAATCGTTCAATGATGATCACAGATTTCATTTTGAATTCAGTTATCAGTGAGACATAGAGTGCAGCGTGGAAACAGGCATAAGATAGACCCACACGAAACACTTGGAGGATCTAGACTTCACTCATGATGATATATGTTCGATTTCTCACACACTAGAAGATATGCAAATGAAAAGCAACAAGTGGGGAGAAGAAGCATCAAAGATTGGAAGGACTTCAGTTGAACAAAGATAAAACAGAGGTGATGAAGATTCCTGGCCAACAGCCACAGCAACAACAACAGACGACAATCAGCGTAAATGGGAGACATCTGCAAGAAGCAACTTCATTTACCCACCCGCCTAGAAAGCATCGTCTCAACCACAGGCGGACGGGACTGATGGGGATATCAAAGCGAAGATCGGAAAAACAAGCCAAGCTTCCATTTCCTCTCATGTCTGTGTGGAGGTGAACAGTACTTAACATGAAAAATAAGATCGGGAAATTCAACTTCACTGTGAATTTGTTGCTAATATACGGATCAGAACCTTTGCGCCGCGTCACAAAGGGCACTTCGAACAAACGACAGACCTTCATCAACACCTGTTTCCGCTCAATACTACTCAAGATCAGGCGGCCGTCGAGAAAACATGAGCAACAGGGATCTCTGGGGACGAACCAACCAGCAGTCAATTGTGAAGCATTTATGCAGGGAAAAATGGAGGTGGACTGACTATACCTTGAGATAACCACAAAGTGAAATCACATGCAAGGTCTTTGCTCCATCGGAACCTGGATGGGAAGCGGCGATTTGGTCGTCAGTGCGAGTGTGGCATCCAGGAAGTCATGCGAAGAGGAGATTAAAGCATGTGAGTAGACTTGGAGTCAGGTGAAATGCTGGCGAAGAACCGAAGGCAGTGGAGACGTGCGGCTGACGCCCTATGTCCCTCTGGGAACTAAAGGAGATAATAATACCATGGAATTATGGATTTGGTGGCTAAAGTACTAGCTAAAGTACTAATATTAGTAATAGTTAGAATCTTTCCTAAATCACTCAGTATGAAGTAGGGAAGAGGATTAAGTTGGTCGTTAATACTGCTTTCACACTTCCACTCAATATTTAACTGTTTATCCACTCATGAGGTTTTGAGTTACAGTTCTAAGAGTAAGTGAGATTAACACTAGTCATAATGATATAAGTTGTGAAATATTAAAGTGTGAGACAGACAGACTATTTAAACGAAAATTAGATGACTATACCTCAAAAGGATTGGATAGAAACAAAGTTTAACTGGGAGGAGTTTGACAAATTATAGGTAGGTTACAACTTGCCTTCAAAACTGATGATACTGCCAGTAGAATAAAATGCAGACTGAACGCTACCCTGAAAAGAACATATCCAGCCTACAATCTTGTACATATTTATCGAGCAACCAGGGGTTTATGACATCCGAAAGTGGACAAACTCCCACCGCATGCTGCCTCCAGCTGCGTCTGCAAATTTACATGTAATTGCTAAACTACATACACTGGAAGAACATAGAGATGAATTATTATTATGATTTCTGAGAACATTTCCAAGAATTCAAGACTAAAGAGTCCACAGACATTAAACAGTGCGACTGAACACCACCTATTGCTTAACGATCATGCTGTAGACAATTTGACGCTGTCCAAAATAGTCAACAGGTGAAACAAACCTAACCAGCAATTGGCATCAAACGATTAAAGGCAAATCTGTGTACAGAGAAAAAAAGAGTGGTGAATCTCCCACTGTCTTGATGATAACAAAGTATACAAGTTGTAATACTGCTTCCATCTTGTTTAGAAAACTTTATTATTACTCTAAACATGACTCGTCCTAATCCTCTCCACTTTTCGATATTCTGTAAAACACTTTCTGTGGTGACTTAACCACTTATTTGTTACACTATTCCGAGTTGAACTTTGCTTCTTCTACTCTGTCTTTTCCTTTACAAGCATAGTCATCTGATTTTCGCATAAACAGTTATTTCTTTTCAGTCTGAATTATTGGAAAATACCTACATCATTCCTGAGGGATGTTACTCCTGGTTCCTTTGAGTTACTCCTTGTCATAGTGAAAAAATTATCTTCAAAAGGTTAATCTAACCTTTAATTTTGTTTTGTTCAGGTTAGTGCCAGCCAGTTGAGAAGAATCCTCGAAATAATAAAAAATTGTGTTCTTATTATCCTGGTACATTTGTCGATCTTGCCTTTTTCAAACTGATTCGACTCTCAAGTGATATCAAGGGGATGTGTCTGAGAAGCTGACTGAAGGGAAATCAGTCAACATCCACTTTATTACGACTCTGGAAGTGGCTATCTGTTCAATGGTTATTTGAAACTAAATGTCATCCGTGAAGCTAACAACTTGTTAGCACGATTAAATAACCTACTTGAAGTATTCTCAAAACAGTAGTAGCATGTTCTTGAGGGTTAGGCTGAAGACAGACAGTCGACCTCAAGAACGAGACTAAAGTGATTAGAGTGAAAATTATGAGGTAATGTGAAGAAGGATTTATGTATGTGATTCGTCAGTTAGACAAGAGATAATTACCAGTGAATTGAAGAATTTGAAAGATATTTGTGATAAGTTTTGAATGTGAGCATACTGTGTGTCATTCATATCAAACCTAGTGAGCTTGATTTGTTGGTGGTTAGTCACTGAGATTTCTCATAATAAACCTCAACCGGTAGGGAAGGGAATTAACTGAAGTAAGAACTGTCGACAACCAATGACATTGATTAAGATTAGGCTGAAAGGCTATTAGTTTGTGAATAAGTTAAACTTCACACGTTTATCCTGATAAGGATATCATGCTGCATAGGAAGTAAATGGCAATTTCACACTATTGCACTCAATTCACTGAAAGTATCAATTTCAAACAGTGTTTTTTAATATAAGCCTTCCATACCTTCGAACATCTTCATCAAGTAATAAACGTCACTAATACTTTATATGGGTGACTAACTTCTGCAGTTGAGGTATCCTATTAAGTTGTGGTTCTCCTAGTTGGTTGAATTCCAGTGAGAGGAATGTCTTTGTTATGTAAAACCGGTGTAGTAAGTTTACTGCGGATTTCCTCGATGTTTTTCTTCAAGCCACTGTTGTTGTCTTCCAGATGTGAGCCTGTTATTACCGTACGAAGTTCAGCCTAATACTTGGTGACGAAACGTATCATCTTCTTTCACAGGTCTTATGTTAGCCACACTGACTATGCACCTATTACACATGTCCTCTTATCCTTATCCAGTTTCGTATTAGTCAATGTGGCTAATTTCAGTGTGTTTACTGGAAAACTTGGTCTGGCTACTTAGTCTGTCAGATTGTGGAACTTTATCTGTCAGTAACATGTTTCATAGGGAGAAGACTACCAGGTGATCAAATTATATTAAGTATCCAGGTTTCTGGTAACATATCTCCACGCCTAGTTCCATATATTTGGTGAATAGCAGTCCTGACCCAGTGTCACCTTGCTAGACACATGTGTTTTCAGGAAATCGATTCCTTAGAATATTCACACGTCAGTTAGAATATGACGATTCGATGTGTCACATAAAGCGTCCTAGTGCATTGTACACCTTAGCTATCCTAACTACTCTACTGTAAAAAACAGAATCAAGGGATATTGAGATACCAACGGAGCACACAGCCATTTTGAACAGACTCCAATTATTACGTTTGGGAATGGCGTCCAAGAATAAACTGACTTTATAACTGACACCCTTTAGAAGAGAAGCAAAGTGTGTGCTGACAGTAGGTATCTTGAGACTCCACTTTTGAGCTAAAATCTCGACTAGGGAGATGTTAGAATTCATAGGCCACTGAGTTGTGTCCTTGTGGCTGAATATTCTACGAGATTGTGTTGTAACCTGAAGGTCATGCATAGGTTCAAAACTTGGTGAGTGCGTACTGATAATGAGTTCAAAACTAGGAAGTGAGAAGTAGCTTTGCAGTGCTCCCTGGTTTCCAATGCTTCCTTAACTGATATCAATCCGTGGTCAAACTCGAAGACAGGATACTCTGCAAATTCTGGAGTACAACTGAGGGAACAGCTGCTAAGCCTAATTAACTTGGTCCACATAGGATTATTAATCTTCACTATCTATAAAATTCCACATAGTTCTAGGTGGTTTGAGACCGCTTTCAAGGGGCATTATTAGATTTAGTTATGCCATTTTGTTCAGATAGTTTTGGCTTCATATCATTTGATTCAGCTAGTGTATAGACCACTTTCCGTACAGTAACCACTTCTACATCGATCCGTCCGGTAAATTCACAGGGAGTTTGGAACTTCTTTCACAGGATGAAGGTACTTGATGCTAGTTTGCCGGAACACATCTCCTCTTTGCCAGAATTCTTCGCATCCAACCTGAAGCCTGATTTCGAAGTCATAATCTGTCCTCACTTACCAGTGTGGGTCTCTTGTACACCATTCTTGTGTCGTGTGTTACTGATAACACTTATAATTAGTATATGGATGTAGATATAAATATATATTGTCTGTAAGAATATTGAGTAGCGGAGACATGGATTTAATGGCTGAGTGAAGAAATGAATCATGCTTATGAAGTGACATGACATGATAACATGAAAGGAAATGAAAGAAGCTGAATACGGAAGGTGTGTACAAGTTGAGGTTTTAATATGTGGTGAATGTATTTTGCCTGTATCTGTATGTCAACTGGTCACCATATTACTCCGTCCCCAAATACTCTTGTGTTCTGCACTTGCACTTCTACAGTCCTCCTTCAGTGAGCTTTGGATCTTCTGAAAGTTATTCTATTCACTGCTGACATATTTTGTATGTCATGTCATCAGTTAGGCTTCGAGCACCGTTATTTGTCATGAGTTCATGTCACGAATTGTGCGAAAATGACTTAACTTAATATTAATTCAGCCTTCAAAGACCGTATTCTCTAGGGAAATGACACTTTTTTATCAAGTTGGTACAGGTCGTTAATCCGAGACATGTGGTCAACATAATTTTTAAAGTGTTTCCATTTCTCTTATTAGTTATCTAATTTCATTGTACTGACTAGAGTGGGATCGATTTTGTTAGGCGAGTCAATCAGTTGAGATACCAACCAACCTGATATAGATATATTACCTATGGTGTTGTTGTCAGCCAAGTCTACCAGAGCAGGCGATGACAAATCAGTAATCTCAATTTTAACTGCTGTCTTACTTCTATGTTTGAATTAGCGACGCACTTGAGAGTAGAAATTTAACGAAGCGAAGTTAGAATTTGTTTATCACATATTGGTCTGCTACTTCAAGTAGCCAGATATCCCCTTCCTGACACAACAGTCTCCTTTATTAGCTTTAGAGTAGTTTCCACCTTTCCATGTTACACGCCATATATTGACCAAAGCAAACATGCTTCTCCACTCTGTTTTATTGTTCAACCACTGTCTACACCATCAAACCGCACTAATGACCGTTGATCAATCAACAACCTACCCATATCATCAAAATACCTGGTACTGATTCCAAAGTGGTGGTTGAACAGGCAAGCAGAATAATTCGACCCTTCACAGCTCCCCTTCTGTCTCTTCCACTCAACACCTCTGATCATAATTAGGCAGTAATTACCTGTATAATATGTGTCTCTGGTTGGAATGTAGGTCACATTGTTTTGAATTTCACTCATTTCTAGAATATAAGGGCAATACATACGAAATAATCCTCCATCGAACAAGGACAAAATCAGATAACTGAATAACAGTAACCACTTGATTTTATATTTCACCAACTTTCGATGGGTTGAGTCGGTAGGGACGTGTGAGGTAGTAACAGACTCAGTGATCACGAATATCCCTTGTTGTCTACTTTAAAAACGTTCTACAACGGCTAACTGATTTCTCAACTCCGCTTCTTTCAGAAAGAACAAACAATTGTGGTGAGACGAAGAGTGTATTTACAAACAGTGAGAATTTAACACACATGGTGAACAAAGAAACGAGGAATGTATACGTGGGCCAGTGACGTAAGCGTTGTAAGAGATAAATTCACTCGTTATCTGTCTATCCAACCATCAGACTGATGATTGATCCATTATCCATCCAAACAGGCTATCAGTCCACATATCATTTGAGAGATAAAGTGTTAACATCTGATAATCACTTGACTATCGCGCTAGTTATTTTCACCTCTTAACAAAAACGTTTCTAATTTCAAAATGATCAATTCAGTGTCACAGTATGAAATTGCACTGACATCCTTCAATCACCTGAGATTAACACAAAACGGACTTCATTGATCGAGCTATATTCCAGCACAGATTTCAATTAAAACATCGACATATACATAGACACATGTGAGCATGTGAACATTCACTATAGACTGATTGATTAAGGAAAGCATCCAATCATAAATGCGACAGACTTTGTTTATCCGTGATATATCGATTTGACAAAGGTGTTTCGTTTATTTCACATTTTAAATAAGATTTCTGTGTAAGCGTGAAGTTACCTGAGAATGGATAGTAAATCAGGACAAGAGGTGAGTTTATTTTTGTCAATGTCCTTTTGTATTATATGCCAGTGATAACACAAAAGTGAAGTGTATTTCCTGTCACAGTGAGCGATAATTCTTACTTCACAGACACAGATATGAAAGCATATTTCAATTAATATAAGAATTAGTTGTTGGATTTCAAGATGAGCTGATATTGATTAAAGAAGTATTGGAAAAGCGGATGGCAGGAAGTACTAGACAGCTGTTTCGGTCCAGTTTAGCACCTTTCAATAGTACGCACACACTACCAGGTTTCAAATTTAGTACCTCATGGTCAAAACACAAGCTGAACAGAACCTGACCCAATGGCCAGTCTCTATGAATTCCAACTTTTACGACTTCACAATATAAAGCGACTGCACCAGTTAGTGTAATCGGTGGTGGGCATTTGTCGACAAGTCCAACCCAGTGCACTCCACTAGTCACCACTTGTCACTAGGATCCATACAGGTAACTACCTACCTGAATGAGGCTACTCGCTGATGAGGATCATGAATTGACAAAAGTTGGAATTCATGAACAGGCCATTGAGTCAGGTTCGGCTGGCCTAATTGCCTACGAGCTATCGTTTTTACTGGGAGGTACTGGGTGAGTATTGGTGTAGTGTTCAAGACTGGGAAAAACAGCTGTCCAGTACTCTCACCTGGTTTTCCAATGGTTCGCTAGCCGATATCAGCTCCTAATGAAATCCTGTTACGAATCATATGAAATCCGTGCAAACCAACAATTGGTGTAAGATTTGTTCAGTTCACGGTGGCCTGTTTGTATCACTGGGCTACCAGAAGTTACACTCATGGAAATGGTCAGATTCCTTTGCGTTTCGTGCAAATATATGAAACGATGACTACATGAACTCGTGCTGCACATATTTAATTAGTTTTCAACCAAATGCGTGAAACTGTCGAAGGAAATAAAGAAAAGAATCAACTGACTTGGTTCTCTCCTCATGTTCGGCAACTCTGCGTCACATGATGTACTTCAGATTGATGCTTTACATATAAATCCTCTAAGGAGATGAAAACAATATTTTCGAACTAATTCAGGTAAGATATTTCGGGACAAATTTAAGGTGTATTTGCGACTCTTAGGTGCATATTCAGGTATTCTGGGAAATTCAGTGTTTATTGGGGTTGGAAAAGAATGTTGCATTTCCACAAAATTTCTGCATTACATTGCCAGAAATTTCCACAGAGTCTTTAATTGAGAAATACTATGAAGATGCCTGTACTGTGTTTACATTTCGTCCGAAATAAAGGTTTATGGTTATTATTATTAATATCAAATTGACTTTGTTAGCCTGTAGGAAAGGAGGATATGTTATTGAGGAAAACACTTCCTGTCTGTGAATTCATTTATTACTTCTGCATCTGGTATTGACTCGAAGAAGAAAGACTCAAGAATTAACTCCCCTCTCTCTCTTCCTTCACCTAATCATATATATATTTATTTATTTTCAATATTTCTACCATATCACATCGATTTAGGTGATTATAGTGTAGGGAAATAGATCCGGATCAGTTGGGTTATCAGAATAAAGCACTTTACCCAGATATTGATTGGTTGATCCCACCCACTAAGTTAGATAGTCTCGAGAAATAGCTTAGCCATTGCAATGCATACACTTACCTATGACCACACAATGGTGTTGAGATGAGATGAAAGATATTAGACAGTCATAAAGTGACTTTAAGAGATTGATTAATTACCGAATCTTTATTTGTTGTTGAGTAAATTGTTTTCGATTGAGACTTCTGTTAGAATGCTCTACTCTTATTCCACGTTAATCAGAGCCGAAAATATGCCAAAATGTGAATGGTGATTGATAGAAACAAGTTTCTCTTGCCATCGGAATGTTCCCAGTTATAAAGGCTTGTCAGTTATCAATTATGTGATAGGTGTCTATGAATCCGTCTCCTTAGAGTGTCACACACAAATCAAAGTTCTGCATTGATCAGTTCAGATAACTTGTTTTTCTAAACTAGACTTACAACAGGCTGCTAGAAATGGGTGAAAAGGTGATTCCATAAGGATATCGATTTTAGTTGAATGGAAATCGTACATTCAATGTGCTTCGAATGAATCCGATTGGTATTCAGACATACAGCGTTTATTGGAAGCTTTAATATTAGGTATAATAAAAGGATAATTCGTACATATCACAGAGGTGTTGGATGGATACACATGTCTCCTAATCATTTCTGAGGTGTCAGTTAATAAACCACTTGTAGCCTGAAGGAAGGTTCGAGGCATAACCTGAATCGTCTGGAGTGGCAAGTCGACCTTCTGTATCTTCAGTAGGTCATAAAGTCGTAAATTAACTAATCCTGTTTGTCTAATACTTTCGAAAAACACTTCGTAGAATGAGGGATTATTATTCAGACATTTTTAAACTACTGCCAGTTGTCTTCCAACTAGTTCATTTGCGTTTTCATTCAATAACAGGTATTGAGAATTGTTTGGTGTCCGAGTGGACATTTCACTTTGTGTTGACAAGTAAGGGGACCTCAGTTTGTTATTCCTGTAGATTCATAACGACTCATTCATGTTAAATATACACACTGACGTTCTTCCACATTTCAGGAATCCGATACAAATAGTCAACCAGCCAAAGTCACAAAATCTATGAACGACCTAACCAACGAATTGGGCGATATTTTAATAGATGACTTAGGACTTGATGACGATTTTGACTGTGTGTCTAGTCATGGAATGACTCGTGAATTCCTGTTGGTGCTTGACAAGAAGTTCATGCCTAAATTCAACGAGGGGGATCTACAATGTGCTAAAAGGCCATGGGTACAATTCGCTGCAACAGCTGCTGCTTATGTGTACAAGTCTGTTGGCCAGTGTGTGTCAGAACCATTGCGTGTATGGTTAAGCAATGTAGCGAGCTCTGCAATTCTCTACGGACTTCTAGGAGAGTTGGCCACACCAGGAACAGCAGGTACAGATGAAGGCACACGTTCTTCTGGAGAAGCGACAACTGAAAATTTATCACTCCCGGACATATGTCTGGACGATGGTCAAGATGGTTATTGGTATTATGGTAGTTGGACGGTAGACAATGTAGCAAATAGTTAAGAGATGAGCATTGTGTTGAAAGCTGAGATGGCGAAAGCATGCATCTCAGTGATGATCGCCTCTGTTGTCAACTACTTTCAGGAGGGTGGCTACACACCGAGCGTATTGATGGAGGATAACTATGCGTGGAGAATACTTCGAAGTGGTATAATGGAGAAATATGGTCTGATAGATGAATCTGACAAGAAGAAGGCGATGCTTGTCACTGGTCATTGGGTGTCGAAATTGGTTGTTTTTCATATGGCCACTAAACACCGACAACTTCGACATCCAATCCGACCTGTCAAGATAATTGGCTACGAGCAGTCTCTCAAAACACTGGATATCAGTAAATATTTCTTTGATGTACCGGTTGGTTTCACAAACACACGTATCGCCTACATGATCGCCAATAGAATGGTTCGATCCGTGTGCATTCCCCTCTTTGAAGATTTTTCTGAACTGATTGAATTACAACAGCTTTGCTGTAAAATAACCCGTGATCCATTCCACTACCACATAGATGCTGAGTATCTGACTAATTCACCGAGGACGAAAATTACTGACACATCGAGAAACCTGTTCGGTCGACTCATCACATATCCAAACATCTTCGAGCCGAGAAGTGAGCTACTGCTTTATCCTCAGTTGTGTGTAAATGGGAAAACCCGTGAGAAATACTACTTTGATTACAATGATCACTGGGAGAATATTCTGAGTGTGATATACACTGAGATCTATATGCCGAGTGGAAATCATTTACAGGATGTTCTGAAAGATGTCTGCAAGATTTTGGTTAACTTTCCACCGGGGGATAATATGCTGAGAGTTTGTTGGCAGGAATATGATGTCAACGAAAAGATTCAACAATCGATTCTCTGTTATTATAAACCAAAATACCCTTTATGAATTGAAGTTCCAATGTGAATGACGTTACTCATACATGTTTGTAGTGATAACATATCAATTAAATATTAATCCTATCAAGTCTTGTTTGTGTTTTTTCTATCGACATGGGAGTAGATTGTGGTGATGGAGTATGAGAGTAGGTGAGCAGGCAAGCGAGCGAGTGAGTGAGTGTATGCTAGATTTCGTCCTTGAATTTCCCAGTAAGGTAAGAATAATATTTGAATTTCAAATTTAGGCTATAATGTCGACTCTAACTAGAGGTGATACTGCAAATAGTTGGACGTGTAATTATGTCCGCTGACTTTCAATCACATAAGGCTGATATTGTGATCATGCGTGTGTGTATGTTCTTCATTGTTTGTTAGTTGTGTTCTCTGAGCTGGTTGACTTGATGTTGAAATTTTCCTTCTCCATCGTCAAGACAACATTTTCAGGGCAAGCTAAAATAGGAATTGAACAAGTTTGAAGTCTCCATTAATGATGACGCATTTGTATCTACTGAGCACCCCTGCCTTCATTAATTTGTTATTTTGCATCTACACTTTCGCCAATCTAATCAGTCTCCGCGGTTGTCTATATGCATCGGGTATGAAAGATTACCTGTCGTGTCTGTTCACAGCTAATCTATGTTCTTGGATTCTTATCCACCCACTTTGACCAATCCTATTCAGTAGTGGATTGCCACAGTGTGTTCGAACGCTTCTAAGCAGTATCTGCACGTAGATTCTTCTATAAGTCATTAGGTTATTGCTCTCATAGTTGAGTCTTTGATTTCTGCGTCGATTTTGCGTGTTCCTGAATTTCCCGTGTGAGTTCTCTTGACTTAAACATCTGAGAATGGAATTCAGTGGTTTGATTATTCTTCTTTTGCGAATTTATTGTCTCCAGGCATATTCCTGATTAATTTGTGGGTACATTTCAAATGGTTTCCCCTAAATATTACGAATATACCATCAGCATAACGTAGCCATATATTTGATTTGATTATTGGTGGGGCAATAAATTCTGATCGTCACATAACAGCTTCAGTGTGCACTGAAGATGTTGACTAGAAAGACAATGAAAGCTTCGCAGTTCAGTTGCAACTAGCTCAGAGAACACAAGCAAATCGAAATGTGTTTCTCATTGTTACGTCTCTCTTACATAGAGTGAAACTGCAGTACTGAATGCTAAATGCTGTGAGGTGAATGAATCATAAGTCAAGTTGGATGTCAGTCTACCTAATCTTCATGTGAAAAACATGTTAACCGTTTTCTGTCATCTCATGATAACTTGAAATTTGTTAACGTGAGATACTGAGGTGTTCCCTCGTAAGGCAACCCGACTTAGTCACTTTGGTTTAGGTCACTACTCTAGGTGTCAATTCTTATAATTCAGTATACCTTCGACTGATATGCAAATAAATACTAGTGAAGTAATCAGTCGATACTGCTGTTGAGTTACACATTCGTGTCGTGGAAATTCAACCGTTGGATAGTGACAGTCGTCGATCGCCTTAATAACAATCTTCACAGTAGCCATTTCATTAGTGTGTATGTGTGTGTGCACTTATAGGTTGCTCATTCGATCACTATTGCTGTTGTTGCTATGAGACAATGACTATTTCTGACTGATAGAAGCGGTTGGAAATCACCGACGTTAAGCAGGGGTGATATATGCACTCTTGATACACTTTCCATTTTTCAAATTGCAATCGATTCAACCAAACTGACCACATATTGTCAGGTTAATATTTTGTAGACATTTTCAAAAATTTGATATTTTTTATCCTCTTGGGCTCAGAGTGGAACCCTGAAATTTAGCAACACATCTCAATTTCGTTCTGTTCTCTGCAGTCCTTTTCATATGGTCACATGACAACTGATAAACTTTCATTTTCAACTCACATGATCTTTTACAAGTCACCCTCGGACACACGCTCAACTCGTCGTTTTCCATTCAAGTTTGACTCGAGGACATACGTGGAGGAAGATTTCCCCCGACGGCCTCCTCAGTCTGTGTCCGATCCATCTCCATTTCTTTTGACATATTTTGCTGAGCATATTTGTTCTTAATTCGTTTGTTCCCAGAGATTTTAGTGCTAATCCTCTCTGGCTAGCCATCTGATCTTCACTTTGGAGCCAGAGAAGTCCGCCGTTGATAAAAGTCTGCAGTAGCCTGTTGGAAATGCTTTTCGTGACTCGCGAAGTTTTTGAACCAAATAAAAATACCGACTGAGTTGACATCGATGTTGAAATTCCGAGTGTTGTTGTTTATGCTGGCTGAGTGCAGAATGTTCCCAAACTGATTCAAGAGTGAGCAATGGTGGTCCGTCTCGCCTTTCTGATTCTGTTTTGGACACCATACTCAGTGTTGTCTCCTGTATTTTGATTGATGCTCCCTGGATAAGGGAAGGAAACAAACTTTGTTAAATCTCTCCTGTTGATGGTGATTGGTGCTAGTTGTTGTTGCGGTCCATTGGTTGTCTTCATCACCTCCGTCTTGTATATGTTCACTTGAAGTCCTGTCTTCGCCGACAGCTTCTACAGCAAGTTTGTTGGTTTTTGCCTGCCTACAAGTCATCGAGTTGGTGTGGAATCAGACACAAATCATACACGCGCGAAGTCCAGATCTCCAGAAGTCTTCTTTTTGGTGCAACATATTTCCCTCCTCTTTCTCATCATGGTGTGTTGCACAATCCAGTCCACTACACTCATGGAAATCATTGACGATACTAGTCAGCCTTGTCTTACTCCTGCTTTCGTTTTGAAGGCTCCACTGAGTTTTCCGCTGTGATTCACTTGACAGCCAACTTGTTATTTAGTTGGTATATGAGGCCTATACAGTTTTCGGAGTGTTGAACTTTATAGTATTGAAGTAGTTTCCAAATCACTTCGTGATCAACTCTTTTGAAGGCCAATTGGAGTTGATGAAGTTGAGGTAGAGATTCTGTGGCAATTTTGTACTCTATTCGATGAAAATGCTTACAGTTGCGATTACTTCCATACATGATTGGCTTTTTTTGAATTCACCTTGTTTCGGGTGGATTTCTGCATCCATAGCATCTTCTATATCCGTCAGGATGTTGTGATTTAGTATTTTACTTGATGCGGATATGAGCACGATTCTGTATCAGTTCTGAGGTAGACAGAAATCTGTGCAGAGATTTCAACCATTACTCTTTGCATTTAGGCATAAAAACCAGCCTCATCTTGTTGTCCGATGTTATTTGTGACGATGGGGCATCAAATAATTTTAACTTTCCTTCTTTTGAGTTGAATCTTCCTCTCATAGTCCTGTAATAGATTGGTTCCCACTGTATGAGAGCTTTGTCTGCTGTTGGTGACAACAAGACAGCCACTCACTTAATGTGCTCCTGATTGTCGTCTGGGTGACCGGAGTATTTTATTGACTCTCCGGTTAACAGTTTGCAGAGTTCACTTCCATTCCATCTGATGTCGTAGATTACCAACACTTTTCATTTCCTTTGCAGTCTTAATAGCCTCCATAGCTTTATCAATTGTGCCAAAACTCCACGATCCCATTCGTATTAATGTTCTCTTCGAAAAGGGGACATACGGATTGCTTGGGTTTTTGAAGGCTTTCGCTAACCCGTGTCATTCCGTCTCTCCGATTCCAACGAAGCGTCAGCTTGCTTTTATGTATTTTTTTTAGTTGTGCTTTGAAGTTATTAATATTCTTAGTTTTGGAGAGAAGACGTCGGTTGAACTCTCCGTACTTGTTTGTTCCTTGGTTTCTGTGTCAACTGTTGATAAATCTCAGATTGGACGAAATTCCCATATGGAATTCCAGAACTATTCGTCACCAGTCAAATGAAAAGTTTGCTACCCTGATCTCTCAGATCATAACGATCTGAAAATCACTCACGAAGTGAAATATGCTACTCAGCTCATACTACTTTGAAAAACAAAAGAGAAGGTGGATTGTCCCAAAGAAATATTGTTCACAGTGAACCAGTTCACATTTCTAAAGGTTCACTGACTTTGTAACATGAGAAGCAGTCTCAATCCTTTGGAAAAACACAAGAGTTTTATCCAGCTAGTGAATTAACAGTACAATAAAACAGCAATGTCACATCTAGTGGCGAAATTCTCCAGTTGGCGAAATTATGT